GTGAAAAAGTATAAAGGAGATTGCATTTCTGCACTAATATTGGGTCTGGACAAAATTTTCCATGTAAACAGTGACTAATTTTTCCTTCTACCTCAACATGAATATTGGAAAGCACATGGAGAACATTGCTTTATAGAGTTCCATTATTGTTGAGTAAAATTCCATGAAATAAGAGTTACAAACCAGTGAATCCCCATTATGATTAACCAAGTATGAATTGCATCATCATAGAAAATTTGACTTTAGCTTCTTGAAAAGTTATATTTATATTTTTCTACAATTTCACTGTGCATGTGTATTTAGTCTCAGCAAAGATATGTGCAAGCATACGAAAAAGGAAGAAGAGAAGAGAAAGGGGATGAATAACAGAAGTCAGCTGTGCTGGTACATGTAACGACTCCCTACAGGGGATGTTCGCAGTAGGTACTACATACTTATACTAATAAACTGAAAATGACATAGGAAATCCTCAAAATGATGCTTTAAGTTTTTTAATTGAAATAAAAATGTATTATCATTTAAAACAAATATTGTAAGGTAAACATAGATTTATATTAAAGAATTTGGGGGGGCATTTAAAGCAGTAATCTGGAAGTGGTGTCCTAGCTTCTCCCAGTGAAGGACCACAGAGCCACAAGAAAGTTTACTAAAAGCGTTATCACATCCCAAACCAGTTTTGATCACTGAAGGGAGCTGAGAACCAGGGTACTACTCTGGTCTTCCTTATGAATCAGTTCTATTCCATGCGGATGGGAAATAGAGAAAGTATAAAACACAAGCCTGGTGCACAAGAGTTTCTGACTTCAGTGAGAAGTCAAGATCAATCCCTACACAGACTCTGTGTAACCCAGACTCCCTAGGAAAAACCATGAAACACTGCAAACATAAAACCAGACAAGAACAGATACCACCAGGAAGAAAATTTTGACAAAGCAATAGAAGCTTGGGGATTTGCATGCCTTTTTTTTTCCTTGGATCTTTCTAGACCCTTCACCAGAATGGCTTACACAGAAATGCTTTCTGAATGCAGCTGTGGTGTTTTCCCTCTCCACCTGGAACATTCCACAGTGGGAACCTCCAGTTCGAACAGGGGTCTGCACAGGAAGGAGGTTGGTGTTCATTTAATTGGCGTCCAGTTCTTATATCTAGTTTAAACATAAGAGCAGCGAGCAGCATCACAGATGTGTTAAACATCCAAGAGACATCTTATTCGGAATTCGTTATTCATTCCTCTATTTGGAACCCAGAGAGTGAGAGCATATGTCCTCATCTTAGTCTATGCTGTTGCAACAAAATACCCCAGACTGGGTAATTTATAAACAATAGGAATTAATTTCTCATCGTGGCACCAGGAGGATTATTATCCAGTGAGGATCTCTTTGTACTCACAGGGTGGAGCCTTGCTGCTGTGCCCTCCAGAGGGGAGGAACACTACTGCCCTCAACCTGGAGCCCTGGAAAGGGTGCCTGCCGATCCTATTTATGAGGCAGATCCCAAGGGCCATGCCTCTTAACACCATTGCACTGAGGTTTAATGTTCAATGTGCATTTTGGAGAGGACCCCAGCATTCAAACCATGATGAAGAAGAGGTTGGACAAGTTTCCTTCTTTTCAGTGGGGTATCATTTGGGGTTCTAACATAATGAGGTGATTCAGCCCAGGCACAGGACCTTATGGATGTTAACTTTTGTGGTGAAGAATAAGCATCACCCCCATTAAAAAAAAAATTAAGATCCCATTGGGTATTTAGGAATGTAGTAGACCAGGTCGAGTGTACCTTCCTCCTTATGTATACGCAGTTGGTCTCTGCAAAAAGCCTTCATCAGATTCTCTCTGTATCATGCTTCCCTTAGACCCCACATGTGAATTTCCTACATTCACTCATTCATCAGGTATTCACTGAGCACCCTCTGTATGAGGTACCCTGTGGTAGCTGCTAGGACTGAGAAATGCAGAAATAGACCAAGCTAGTGCTTTCACATGGACACAGTTCAATATTCCATGGGTCACGCAGTGAGTGGTGAAGTGAAAGGTAGGATACACAGGGCGGAGGAATGAAGAGAGCCACTCCTTAAGCTATCATGAGATGAAAGGTAGGGGGAGAGCGGGATATTTGGTGGCAAAGCATCTAGTCAGAAACTTCAGGAGGCACGTGGACCCTAACTCTGGAGTGTATGTGGTATGTTGGGGGTACAGCAAGGAGGGCCCTAAGGCTGGGAGAACGAAGAAGGAAAGCAGGGGCAACAAGGCTAGGCAGGAAGCGAAGGGTGAGCTGGAAATTGCGATCAGGGACTGGGGGTGCTGTGAGCAGAGCGCGATCTGACCAGGGGCTCAGGAGGGCCATGCTCATTGCTGTGCGGAAGGAAGGTGAAGTGAAGCAGCAGGGAGGCCAGCGTGGCCACCAAGAGAGCCAGGACAGAGGCAGTGGAGGCTTGGACGAGTGTTTTGCTCACAGGGGTATTAAGAATGGGTTAGATTCTGTGTTTTCTGACACATTGTCCTGTAATGCTGTTCCAAGAAGACTGACTTGCAAAGCGCCAAGGAGCTTAAGAAATTCTACTGTCTGCTATGCTAGTATTTATCCCAGAGGGGCCAGCTGCCTCAGAAGCTTCCTATTGCTTTTGTTAGAATGAAGATTCCAGGGCCTGGCTTGCTCTGTTCTACATAGCATCCATGGCAAAGAGATTCAGGAATCTGAGGTTTTTAACAAACTCCTTATTGTCACTTTTAGTGTGGGCTAGATTTTGAAACCGGTCCTTACAAACGAGAGTGCTGAGCCCCTGCGATGGCTCGTGTCATACTAGACGTTTCAATCCTACACTCGCAGTCCCTGTGGGCCACAAGTGAGAGCATATTGTGAGCTTAATAATGAGAAAGGCAGAAACTACTGTTTCTGCTTCAACTCACAGTGGGGCTATCTCCAGCGGGCTGCCACATTTGGCCTTATCAGGAGTTTTGTGAAATTTCATCATTTTTTTATTATTTTCATATTCTGAACCTGCTGGATACATTTGATTTTCAGCCTTAAATTAGAGGTTTTAAGTATTAATAAATGGATCTAGAGTTTTCTTAAACTTGTGCCTGAATGAGCTAAATGTATGGTTGTGTGTGTAAGAGGAGAGAAAGGAAATTTGGCATTACTTTCTAAGGCCACTTTGCTGTCTTGTTTTAATAAGTGATGTATTCTCTCTTAACAGTTGTTGATGAAATCAAACATTTCCTTAGTTTCCAAAAGAGAAAATGAAACTTTGGGATGAACAGTGAAGAATGAGACAAGAAACAACAGCTAATAGTAGTTTTTACTATCTTGCATCCTCTCTCTTATATTCTTTATCAATACTGAATCATCTTAGTAAATAAGAATACTAAACTCTATTTATGGATAAAATCATTTTCTATTGTACATATATTATAGTCAGTGTAAGTAGTGTTTTGTGTTCTGTGTTGGTCTACAGGGTCACATACCCAGGGTATGTATTACGTCAGTTCCTGAAATTATAATTCTTCATAGCTTTGTAATACTATGCTGTACTTCTTACAAATATTTCTTTACAGTTTGGCCCTTGTAGTTGAGTTTTTCCAGTTTTCTACTATATAGTAATGAACTATGACATGGATCTAAGCCTGTTTTTTATAAATTATTTCATTTTGGGGGGACAGTGTATAATTACTGGACTAACATAATGAAAGGTGTTAAAAAACATTGTAACTCACTGCCAGACTGTTTCTTAGAGAGCTTGATTTGATATTTCATGCCATGGATAATATTTCCTCTTCATCATTGTGTCATAAAACTTAAGCTCTTTAATTATTTTCTTTTTGCCAGTTACATTTTCATCATCTTTTGGGGGGTTAAAATTAGTATACTTGTAACATTGGGACATAGTTTGAGGGCAGAATCAAAGCGACAGCTTTCCTACAAATGACACCCTCACTCACCAAGGTTACTTTTCAGTCGCTTTGGCCTATTTTGCAAGACACATCCTGAGCAAGTGAACTTGCAGATACACCGCAAGGCTGCCGCTTTGTAGAGGAGTTCTCCTGCTGAGCAGCGTGCACTGTTTGTTGGTACCAAGGCAGAACAAGAACAAACCATGACCCATTTAGGGACAGTGATTGGTGCCAGGGAGCCCTTCACACTTGCCGTCTGTGGCCACAGCTCCAGCCATGCCTGACAAATCAGGTGAAGCATTCTCATTGCTGTTAGCTGCAGAGCTCTGCAAAGTTCCAGCCTCCTAGGGGATCAGTGGCATCATTCACACTGCCGACACCAAGTACTTGGCACCTGGGCAGGTGCGCTACACAGAGGTCTGGCTTCCCCCAGGAGACACAGCAGGCTGGTCAGGGCACCTGCAAGGCTCCAGAAAACTACAAGCTTAGGTGAGGTTTTGAGCAGCAAAAGTCAGGAATTCAGAAAGGCTGGAATAGCATCTAAATGAGGATGTGAGCACAGTTTTATTAAAATTGGGATTTACTAGACAAGATTTTGAGGCCAGACATGCTATTTTCTCCCCCCCGACCTTCTTTCTTTCCTTTTGGCTCTCACCATGTAGTTCAGGGTGGCCTTGAACTCACAGCCATCTTCCTGCCTCAGTCTCCTGAGTGCTGGGATTATAGATGTGTGCAAGCACGCCTGCCTACTTTTTTATTTCTTGAGGGGTTTCTTTTGTTCCTTTTTTAGTTTAAACAAGTCAAAAAGCAAAATGTATAAATGCATTTTTATTACAAAAGAATAAGTCACACCATAGAATTTTAAACAATGGGTAAAGTCTCCTTTTTGCCTCTTCCATGCCCACTGCCCTTCTCCAAGGCCACCAGTGTTAATAGTTTGATTACTTCTTTCAGGACTTTTATATCCATAGATTCACACATGCACACACACGTATTTTTTCTCCAGGAGTATATATTATGCAGTATTTAATTTTTTCCCTTTAATCACAATCTTATCCCTGTTCCCATGAGCTCAAACTGGTGTCCCTTACTCTGCATTTGATATGTAGCATGGGCTATTGTTAATTAATTAACAGATACAAATCAGGGACAATAAGGTTTTGAATTTTCACTATGGCAAAAAATTCAAAGCCAGTACCATTGTATATACAACTTTGTGCACAGACTCATGTGTTTCCGTGGGAAGAATGCTGAATGTACACTTGATCTTAGCCAAAAGGCCGAGAAGCGATAAGAATGCTGAATGTAAACTTGAGAGGTCAAATTTTATGAGCACTTATAAATTTTAATAGGTGTGATCAAATTGCTGGGTGCAGCCAGTGGACTGTTCAGTGGTGCTAAACAGAAGAACGCTGGAGATGCATACCTTGGGTGCGTCAGTTCTGTTTGCCCAGCTCCCTTTGCTGCACTCCACTTAGCTCATACACACTGTCTCTTAAATGAGCCTTCTGGGCTTGGCAGGAAGACCTTGTCAGCTGTGGGGGCCTCTGTCGTATTTACCTCAGGTTGTGTTCCTGTTAGGGTTAAAGAAGGGGCCAAGTGTCTCCCTGGTCTGTAGGAGAGGTGGGGGAAATGCTCTTCCCACTAGAGTGGGCCATGACAGTCGGTCCTTCCCTGAGATGCTTCCTCCTGTCCCTGCCCCATTTCTGCCCAGGTGAGCCACTGTCCTGTTTCCTGTGAAGTATGGGTTAGGCCGTGTTACTCCTTGCTCACTGCCTTCTAGTGGAAACCCCGTGACTGCATTAAAATACAAAGTGCTCACATTGGGTTTTTACTCCCATCCTATACTTTGACCTCTTCCCCCGTTCCTCCTTCTGTCCTGGTTCTGGCCTCATTCTCACCCTGCACACCCCACTGAGGAGGCTTCAGGCTCTGAAATATATGCTGTGCTTCGTGAGGTCCCATAAAGCCACACAGACTGCACCCGGTCTGCCTGGGGCCTGAATTCAGAAAGAGCGATTAAATGGTTAAGTGCTTATGAGACAGAGCCTGGAACAGTGGTGGCCAACCTGTGGCATGTGTGTGTACAGTGCGATGTTTGTATCATTGAAGCTCTAAAATGTTCATCATCGCTGGCCTAGAAAGTCCACAGGAAAGGGTTGTACCTGTGTCTCTCTGGACTGGATGTGGGTGAAATGAGGGGAGAAATTTCAACTTGGGACCTACAAAGAGAAGGCAAAGGGACACTAGACAAAATGGGGAGCTGGATTTAATTGGTGTACAGCGTATGTACGTGTGGAAATACCACGTTGAACTTGGTTCATATGTACAAGTGTTACATGTTTATAAAAAATTAAAATTAAAAGATTTCAATGTAGGGTGTGTATAAGTCATGTGTATTCATCAGCTTTTTATTGCTGTGGCCTGAGAAAAACACCACAAAAGGAGACATGGCTCATGGTTTGAGAGATTTCAGTCTGTGGTTGGCTTATTCCACTGCTTTAGGCCTGGGACATCATGGTGGAAGGGCAGCCTGGAGGAAAGCTACTGCCCTCATGACAGCCAGGGAGCAGAAAGGGTGGGAAAGATCCCTGGGAGGAAGGGGTGGAGGTCAAGATATACTCTGCAAAGGCACACTCTCAGGGACCTGACTTCCACCATCCAGTTAGGTCCTACCTCTCCATAAGCCCATTGATCTATGAACTCATCAAAGGTCAATTCAGTTGATGAAGTTAGAGCCCTCATGATTCCTTCAGCTCTCAAATCCCACAGGCTATCAACCAAGCCTTTCACATAAGGAGGCTTTGGGAAAATTTTGGATCCAAACAGTAACTCCATGGAAGGTGGTGCCACTGAGGGAACTGTAGGTGAGAGGTGTCACAGCCTGCAAAACTCTGAAGAGAATCTGACAGAGCCTCATTTAGGAAAGAGACAACACATATTGGCTCAGCAGAAACTGCATCTTGGACCATCCACCAGGCCCTCAAAGGATCTCGCCCCACTTCCACCTCCCCTCCCTTCCCACCCAACCTTAGCAAAAGAGGAAGAAAGTGTGAGAGTAGAACAAAATGAGCAGAGAGCAGAGGGAGGAAGACTAGGCTTGTTGGCCATGTGAGCAGGGATGCAGATGAAACATGCAGGGAATCTGAGAAATGCAGAGGCTGCATCTCTCTAGGAGACTGGGAATATCACATTGAGAACACGTTTTACACACCAGTGAGCATAGAATGCATCGATGGAGAGTTGCCGGAAGTTAGGGATCTGATCAACCCTTCAGGCGGGGGCGGAGTGTCCCATTCCATTGTAAAGCATGGTGGTCTATCTTGGTTAATTTTTTTTAATTTTATTGAGTTTATTGGTACATTTAGGGATACAGTACAGTTACATTCATTGTTGGGATCTTGTACCTTTACATGACAGGTCTTGATTCTCATTTTTTCCCCTTACCTCTGCCCTCCCTTTACCCCCTCCTCCCCTCCCTATCTACAAACACTTTATTTTCCTCTTTTCATTCTCTCACATTTTTTTCTTTTCCCTTTTTGTTCTTCCCCTATGCATCACACCTTCCCTACACCTTTAGCTCCTTTCTTCCCATTTCTAAATGTCAGTAATCTTATTAGAATCTTATGCATTGTTGCAGAATATTCACACCAGGGAAACTATTTGGTATTTACACATGTGGGACTTATTTATTTCACTTAGGAGTATATCTTCAATATGTATCCATTTTCCTATGAATGAATCTATTCTCTCGCTCTTTATGGATTTCTAAATGTCAGTAATCTTATTAGAATCTTATGCATTGTTGCAGAATATTCACACCAGGGAAACTATTTGGTATTTACACATGTGGGACTTATTTATTTCACTTAGGAGTATATCTTCAATATGTATCCATTTTCCTATGAATGAATCTATTCTCTCGCTCTATCTTGGTTAATTTTTAAAAATTCATTAAGTGTATTGGTACATTGTAGCGTGTGTGATGACATTCATCATTGGGATTTTTGTACCTTTACATGATATGTTTTGGTTCTTAATTTGTTTCCCATTTCTCTGCCTTCCCTTCCACTCTCTCATCCTTCCCTATTTACAAAGACTTTGTTTCCATTTTATTCTTTCTCACATTTATTCCTTTCCCTTTCTTCTTTCCCCTCCCCCTCCCATTTCCCCTTCCCATTTGGACCTTTTCTTCCTATTTCACGTTATCTATTATTCATTTTTATCCTCATTTACACTTTCAGTTTTTCACACCAGAGAAACTCTTCTGAGAGCTTGCAAAAATCCCAGGACACAGACCATGTCTAGACCAAGCAAACTAGAATCTCTAAGAGTGAGGTCCAGGCATTAGAATCTTTAAAGATCCCAAGTCATTTCAGTGTGCAACCAAAAAGTGGTAGACCTAGGAAAGGGTGCCTTTGCTCACACACACACATACACATCTGTTTGTTACTGATACTGGAAGCACTTTTGTTTTCATAATAATTCCGTAGCCTTTATGATTTTTAGACTTCTTAAAGTGTTGAATTTTCAGATTTAAAGGTAAAATTTCAGGGGCCTGGGGATTTAGCTCAGTGGTTCTGCCACCTGCCTCTCAAGCACAAGGTCACAAGTTTGATTGCCAGTACCAAAAAAAAAAAAAAAAAAAAAA